GGGAAAGGTGAAAAGGAGGAGGACAATATATGCATGGGCCTTAGCACTGTCAGAAAATAGGCAAGATAAACAACTTACTTGCAAAGGCATCTCACTAACACCTTCATAAATAAGGCCATCTGGTAAAGCTGGGTTGTTAAGCCACCTGAAATTCAAAGAACGCCAATTTCAAGATTACACAAAATGTTCTATACATGAGTTCAGTTTAATAAAATATTCTATACAATTTTCTATGCATGAGTTCAATTTAAATTCTATTTAATTTAGCAGTTTGACTGTTTGCTTCTGGTTTCAATTTTATGTTAAGTATTCACTCAAGACAGTGAGTTAGGTCTTGGGGAATACCCTCTATATAACAATCATAGTAATTATCAACTTTATCTTTATCATAATCTGAAAATCATCCTAAGTGAAATATATTAATTAAATTGATTTTAAAAAATTTAAACTGATGAGACATTTTGAACCACAGTTATAGTTATGGTAAATTTTTTCTCATTATTGTACCAGATTTATATTCTCAGCCAATTGAAGGGAGCTGTTATTGCTGAGGATGCATTTGAAAAGCAGTCTGAGGTAATATAACTGCACCTATCAGTTGACGTAAACTTTAATTTGTTTCATGTATAGTGATAAAATACAAGATTTTCCAAAAAGTCACTAAAACTCTATAAACATCGACCTCCATTGATTACCCAGAAAGATATATTCTCAGTTCATTGTAAAATTCCTCAGGATCACAAACATCTGCAAATGAAATATGACAAAAACCTTTGAAGTTCAAAACTAATTACAATGATGAGGGTGTTGGACAAAACACTGACTCTCAGTTCATGGACAAAACACTGACTCCCAAGTCCGGTAGTTACTAAAACAAGGAATGACCTAAAACGACCTAAAATGACCTAAAATAACCTAAATCGACCTAAAATGACCTAAAATGACCTTGAGTGATTTCTAAAATAACCTAAATTAACCTAAAATAACCTTGAGTGATTTCGAAAATGACCTAAAACGACTTAAAATGACCTCGAGTTTGTGGCCCCGACAAAATCTGGATCGGATCGGATCGGACCGGATCGGACTGGACTGGATCGGATCATGGATTGGATATCGGACCGGATCACGGATTGGATCACGGACCGGATCACGGATCATGGATCGGATCATGTAACATAAAATTAGACATTTTGTGCAAAATAGAGCACAGACCCCACTGAGAGTTTTTTTTTTTGCCCAAAAACCCCATGTAGTCACTTTCATGGCTCTGTCGAGGAGTGTTGTGTAGTGCCACCATGAACGAAGGCAAGCGAGAAATACGTATCATTCCATCAGTCAGGTAAGAAAAACACGACACAATCCACAGTTGCTTCTTAAGGTTCTTGAGCTTCTTCCGTTGCTGACGCGTGAGGCACGTTGGAAGCCACAGATTGCAAACGAATCAACCTATGTGCTCCACATTGCAAAGTCAAAGTCTCGGGTGTTATTCGAGACGCGTGACTTCCTACGGATCCCTACAATATTCAACCAACGAGAGGTTATTTTAGCGACAGTTGCCTTGTCACGCATTCCTCTCAATACCATTTGCGTCTTGCGGCTGTTCGAGATCAGTGGAGGTGCTTATTTGGCGGTCAGATCGAAGACAAACCGGAAAAAAATGGAAAACCCGATTGGATTGGATTTTGAGGAAAACCGAAAACCAAATGCTAAACCATGTAAAATTAAATCCGCAAACCGAAATGAACAATCCGATCCGATCCGATCCAACCAATCCAGATTTTTTCGACGCTGCATTGTTCACATCACACAAGGGCATACTTGGTTACTTTAGGTCATTTTAGAAATCACTCTAGGTCATTTTGGGTCATTTTAAGTCATTTTTTAAATCACTCAAGGTCACTTTGGGTCATTTTAGAAATCAGTCAAAGTCATTTTGGGTCATTTTGGGTCATTTTAAGTCATTTAAGAAATCACTCAAGGTCATTTTAGGTCATTTTAGGTCATTCCTTGTTTTAGTAACAACCCTCCCAGTCCATGGACAAAACATTGACTCCCAGTCCATATTTAAATACAGTTTTTTTTTGTTAAAAGTCAAACATCAACTTTAAGGCAGAGAGAAGATAACATCTGAATCACACATTAAGGACAATAGAATAACGGAATTGATCAACAACTAAAGAAGCTCCTCATTGTTACACAAATTCTCCTTGTAAGCATGTTAAGAAATGCATAGAAAAGGGTATAGAGAATATGAATGCTGATGTTATGGCCTGTTGAGGATCCAGTCAGAATTTTTTCCTAGAAAAAACAGGCAATTTGACTAAAGTCAGGGAGGTAACACTTGTGGACAACTTGCGATTAATGTTTTAGTTGAATTTGAATTTCATTTAGTTAACATAAAGGTGGGAGTTTTTTTTTTTAAGAGTAAAGTACAATTAAATGAAAACCACATGAATACAGTCCAAGATCATGACTTTTAACAGTCAATTAAAATAGCTTTAAGAGCCAATTATTTTACAAAGTAGCTAGAAAGGTTGATACCAACCATAAATACGTAAAAATGATTTCTTAAGCTGGACTATTGTTTCTTTTAATGACATCAAGGCTTTCAACACCCCTTCGGTGTCATTATTTACAACAGCCTGGCAAAAAAAAAACCAAACAAACAAATGAAAAAAGGATTAGGAAATTTTAGTAACTACCCTCCCTGATTTGTGACAATGACAGGAGTGCCTCAAGGGCCAGAAATGTAAGAGAACAACAAAGGCACAATTGGTTGGTAGTTTTCTTCTAAGAGGGTAGCACAAGTTTTCTGGACTAACCATGCAAGCAGAATGTGGAAGAATGGTTGCAATCCCAGATTACTCTTAGTACTTAGGTAAAAAGTCCTCCATGACCTGAAGGTAGCCCAAGCAAGCAAATACATGTAGTGCATAGATCACAGCTGGTTTGACCCTTCTCAGTCCTTCATTGTCAGCAGCGAAAGTTTACAAATGTGGTTCATAAAATAGAAAAATATCTTCCTATGATTGACAGATAATGGTTACCTGTGATGAGGTGTGCTCCTTTGTGTTAATAATTATCAAGTTGTAGCATCGGGGCCAATTTTCTTACCTTTTGTCCACTGGTAATGCTCTAAAAATTAACACAATTAAAAGAGCTGGATGTTATGAAATTAAAACAAATATTTAGAATTAATTTACTCTGTATTTGGTGTTCAGCAATTCATCCTTGCAGAGTGGTAATGAACTCAAATTGGGGTGATTTCATAACTAGACCTACAAAGCATCCTTTTCCAAACTCTGCCTCCATCTGAAGAGGAACTTTAAGAAACCCTTCTTCTGTCTGTGATCCAGTGATATTAACTGAAAGCTCAATGTTTCTGAAACAAGAATTCATCAGAAGGAGTTACATTCTTTGAAGTATATACAGCTTCAATTACAACAATTTTGTCACAGAAAAAAGAAAAAACAAAAACAAAAAAAGGAAAAGAGAATTAATAGGAATTAATAAGTATATAAACTACCCCTTAGCTATATGCCTAAACAATTTCTCCAGAATTTCCACTGAAATATTCTCTCAGACTCCTTGAGAGTCTCAGATGTTGTATAGAGATTTCAAGCAATTCCAAAATTTTTTTTAAAAGGTCTCTATGTTAATCATGCTACATGCTGATAATTCAATTGATTATAGGCATTCAATAAAAATTATGATGTTCATACTATCCCTACCCCATCTGTGAAAGAGTATGATAAATGCTGTCACTCAAAACAGGTGTTGATCTACATATGGTGATAATTTGCCATAATCAATCCGTTGACCTCCTTATTATAATATAACCCCTGAATCACACATGAAGGTCACGACAGTAAAGGAAATGATCAGTAACTAAAGAGGCTTTTGATTGTTGAACAAATTCTCTTTGTCAGCCCCTTTAGGAAGTGTACTGTGAACAGTATGGAGAATATGCATAATGATGTCAGGGTGTAAAGGGTTAATACTTACTCCATGCTGAAAGGCCTCCAGTTTTTAAATGATGATCCAAAAAAAAGGGAAAGAAATACAATTATCAGCAGGCACAAAAAATCAGTTTGAAACATAAATTGTCTATTTTAACTGCCACCCATTTGTGACAATTATCAAAGTGCTATTATTATTCCTAAGAGTAACCTTACTTAATGATAAGTTTATTGTTATTTGCAAATATAATCATACTAATACTATTGGAAATTATAAGAATGTACATTGTTCCTAGAGGTCAGTTGATCAACCCCAGTGCCTTTTAAATACCACACCCCTACCCCTCTTAAAAGGGAAATGTTAGTTCCTAAGGAGAAAACAACTGGAGGGTGATGAGTTGTGTGCAGAACATCTGACTTAATTGAGCAGAATTAAAAGTAAATTTTGATATTCAGTAAATGCTCATGGATAAAGTGAATTCAAACTTCAGAGTTGGTGTTCATCATAAAATTTTCAAATTAAAACACAGGAAATTCTGGTTTATAAACTTGACTAAGCTTACCGTTTGGGGTCAATATATCTCCAATTATAAAGTGCAAATGTTGAGTGTGTTAACACAGGAGGAATATCTAAAGTAATGTAAAAATAACAGTAAAATAAATTACTTTTTCCCCATCCCTCCCACCACATATTTCAGCACCATCCACTCAGGCTAAAAAACAAGAGGAAAGTTGTTTTTCAATCCAAAATAGACAAATTGCTAACAGAAACAGAAAGGAGACCTTCAGAAAAATCCAAACCATGACTACACCAGCTGATCATGCAGTTTCACTGAAACATATTTCAGATATAATAAATCTGTTTGTGTCAACCCTCCATTCAAAAATCCATGATTACCAATAAGGGGCCATTGCCCCTCCATGGTAGAAAATCAGGCTTAATTCTTATGGCCTTCTAGGTTTTTTCCAACTGGAAGATTTTTTCCTCTCCTTCTGGCAAGCTGCCTGAATCCAACAACTAGCACTTAAAATGACAGGGCTGGAGGAGGGGTGGAAATGGGTGTGGATCAAAAGACTGATTACTTAACTCTTTAACACCCAAGATCTGATTGTTTAGTCTCCCCTCTAGCTACAACACATTTCCCTGTAAAATAGTTATGAGAATTTGAGGCTAGATTTATGATAAAAACTTCTAGCAGATAAGTTTGAGTATTCTTGTTTAACTTTGCTAGATAAAGTATTTATGCTGTGAGGAGAAGTTAGATGTTAATCACTTCTGGGAGTTTAAGAGTTAAAGGGGCAATAAAGGGGTCGTTGATATAAATTTGAACAGAAAAATAAGCTAATTGTATGTAAAACAGAGCAGAAATAACAGAAAGTTACTATGCAGCCAAAATATTATATTGCATATGATATTGGCATTTAATAAATGCATGAAATACTAAAAGAGCCAATGCAGACCTAGATGCTTAGCCACTGAAACCCAAGGAACAGCCAATGACTTTGGAAGAATCTGAAACCAGCCATGAAAACACAAATCAAACCAAATATCAAAATCATTACCAACACAAACAAGAAGATTTTTTGAAACACAGTTAAGTTTAACTCCAATCAAATTTTAAAAATCAAATTTCAAACAGTTAAATGGGAAACCCTTTCTTATTCCCATTTAACAGAGTTTTGTCTAAGTAGTTGAAGGGCATAACCCTTTCTAGTTAAAGGGCATGGCCATTTAATGGGTATTGCAATGCTCACTCCAGCTGAGGCTGACTTTTTTACATGCTGCCACTCCAGAGGGGGGTTAATTTTGCTCTCTCTAATTATGATCTTACCTTGGCGACACCCCTCTCTCCTTTGCCACTCCAGAGGGGGGTTAATTTTGCTCTCTCTAATTATGATCTCACCTTGGCAACACCCCTCTCTCCTTTGCACCATACATATGCATGGGATATGCATGTAAGAACTAATTGAGCTCTCTTCCACTCATCTTCTGATGAAAGTTTGTTATGGTCCAACAAAGGGAGCTATGGAATAAAAACAATATCATTCAGCAATAAAACAGCTATCAAAAACGTTTACTGCCTGGCAATTGTTGACTCTTCATGATCTGTGTTCTAATATAACATACTGAACTATCCAATTAGAAACATTTGAACAGGTATAAAATTGTAAGGATAGTCTACATGCATGTGTACCAAGTGGCCCGTCCAGTTTGGACTTAGCTCAGTTTTTGTAGCATGAAGTGATCAGCAGTTTTTCCTTGCAGTCCCTTGCAAGTTCCTCCCCCCCACCATTTTATCAGGCTTCCCTGACAGTTCACTGGTGCACATTAAAATTTCTGGGCAGAGTGAGGCACTGTAAGAGTTAGTGAACAAGGGGGTAACTAGGGAGGGAAGGGTCCAGGGGTGTCCATAACCCTCCTTCATAAGCCTTTCTAAAGCAAACAACCTACAATATTCAGGTGGTGAAAACTAATGAGAACCTTCCCTTTGAAAATTCCTGACTATGATGAGCCTTACCCAAGAACACAATTCAATGACCCACCAAAGTTTTGAACCCCCATCTCTAGAACAGGATTCCAGTATGCCAATCTTTTGCCCAGAGTGTTGTATCATTTAATTCAAGAAAACTCCCAGCATTTGGCAAAAGCAACATTTACGAGTGACGGATCTGATTCCTTACTTACTTGTTTGATCTGCTGACGAAAAAATTCTCCCTCTTTAACCAGTTGAGGTAAATTTCTGGCTAATTTTTCCCATGGAGAGAAGTATTCTGGCAAGCATTGCTACATTGATCAATTAAATGACTGTAAATATAAGAAAATGCAAGAAGGAACAAACACAACAAATCTGTTGAAAAGTTCAAGGTTTTCAGTCATCGTTGTGAACGGGCCGAAATATCAAACTGTTCAGGTCTCACGAGATCCTCACAAACATTTCGCGAAGACAGGCTCGCCAGTCATTTTTTTAGCGACGTCTTCCCTTTGAAAGAATTTACAACGATGAGACTTATGTACTTACTAGAGGTTCCCTCTCTGGAAGAAATCCGAAATTTGGGGATACATCAAATTCCAGCGGTGTTGGAACAAATTCCATTTCCGTGTTATGTGGGCAGCGATTGCATGAGGTGAGGGGTGGGGGAGGGGGGAGGGGTGAGATAGGCCGTGAGGGAGCTTGAAAAGACACGCAAACATTCTCTATGAGCTATTTATGAGAATTTGGAGGCGCGTCAGGAAATCATCCTCCAAATGACGTTTGTATCAAGTTTTTCGTCATTACTTGCAATCATGAACGATTGAGTTCCTTTGCGATTTTGTTCAACCTGTTCGTTATTTCACAGAATCAACTTGCGGTTAAATTGCTGCTGATCTCTATCGAACACTGAGCGATTACTTCAAGAGAGGTAGAGACTCTATAGATGTTTGATGCAAAGGATGGGTGTTTTTTTTAGGGATCCTGAACAAACGCTTAAGTGCAGATACTTATATACAATCTGAAGTAAATTATTAGTACCTGTCAAGAACATTTGTGATATATTTTCATTACATTAATCTGTTTTAGCCTCATAAAGTAACTTGTAAAATAAATACTCTAATAAGAGGTAAAGAACCCATGCCTGCAGTCAGCGTGACCTCATGAACCAGCCCTTCATGTCAAATAATGGTCATTAGTAGTCCTACGGTATACCGCAAACAGCGCTAAGATGCTTTCATTATCTTTTATACAGATTCTTAAGGACAAAGGGAAAAAACAATACAAAAGACCTGGGAGAAATGGAGATTAATCCCCCAGTGTTACATACGCGATTACGCAAGATTGCCCGCCCCTTACAAAATCTATCTGAAAGACGTGTAGCAACAGCAGTTTGGCAAATCGTGTTGAAGATTATTCCTTACGATTTAAAGCAGTCTTTGAAAATTTTACTTTAGGCGAGCATCGGAAGATCGACTGTAACAAAGGTTGATGCTTTTACCATCGAAGAATTTTTAAAAGACTGCCAGGGAACGTTCTCGAGATTTATTTTTACACGTAACGTTACGTATTCAAGCCCGCCATTTCCGGTCAAACCTTGCGTGATTTTACTTGGCCTCGTTTTCATAACGAGTGCTCGATGCCTATAAACTTGGCGTGAGTACTTTTACTGGGAAAATTCATCACATCACACATTTGTGTGTATTACTACGTGAACGATCGTGTCTGTGATACATCAGTGTTAAAAACCGTAAAATATGATAGGAGAAGGGTACAAGAAAATGCCCTCAAGTGTATCTAGCGTACCTTTAATAAGGTGGGTATAATTTTCCTCTTAATTAAGAGCTTATTTGACCCTGATATGGCAGTATGGCTCTACATGGATTGCAAAATAATTGTCTGTGAATCAGAACAAGCACAGTGCGGTTATCATTTGCGTTTCAGTCGCGGTATGGGTATAATGTCGATTGTTAATTTGTCAAGTGTGTATTTTCAGTTGATTGGGCTTCTATCGTCATATTCGTTCGATGGCGAGGTTCGAGCGAGATCGAAATTTTGAATGATCAGAAGTAAATGTTGATTTCCGTGATGGAAACAAACTTTGAAAACATTATACAGTCCGATCCATCTACATTTTGTAAAGACATTTGAATGAATGTAATTAATTTTGGTTAACCCTTCGTTAAATGTCGTTATGAAGAAATTCACACATAAATTTTCAGTTTCTATGGTGGTATACCCTCGGTATTTTTTTTTTAAACTTGTTTTCAAAATTTTAGAACCGTTTAAACATGACTAGTAAAAAGTTACTGTATATTCATTTGTTTTTTTGTTTTTATTCATGATAGATTTGATAATGTAGTATTGTCTTGGCCATCACCAAATCAGCACAGTTGTAGTTATTGATAGTATGTGGGTACATTTACATTTCCTTTCACAATTAACTTCTAGCATTGAGTACTGTGCATTGTTCCATGGCATGGCACCTTACCATAACTGTTCTCCTCCTTTCCCAGGAATTTATAAGAGGTTTTATTACGAAATACAAATAGTGAAATAACTTGGACTGGTGTGGCATCTGGTTCAGATGAAACCATGATTTGTCTAGAAATACTTATTGTAAGGGAAAACATTAGCCTGGTTCTAATTTATTCTCATAAATATTCTACTCTTGGCTAAACTGACGATAATTGCTGCACTTTTTAGGCCGTCAGTGTTTAGACAAGTCACAGATTTTGCAAATGTTTTTAAAGCATTTATTGGAACCAACTGGATTGGTCTGCCATTTGCTTTTAAACAAAGTGGAATTGTGGTAAGTCAAACGTTAGCTGCTTATTGATAAAACTGTTTTATTGCAGTATATTTGTCAACAAAAGTCTCCTTTAGGCTATGGATGGTGAAGAGGCCATTTTGAACTACATGATGTGATTAAAATGTCCTTGTTTAAATTGTCTCAAACCATCTTAATTTTTTTTTTTTGGTTAACATTTTCTGAGTGGTACTGTACAAATATCAATCAAGCAATAAAGTTAATGTTGATCATTTCTTTTCAGCTTGGATGTGTGGGAATCCTTATCATTGCACTCATCACAGATCACTGTTGCCAGTTGATCATTAAGTGTAAGAAAGCTGCTGTCCAAATTGTTCTAGACTCAGCCTCAAAGTCATATGATCTTGAATCCCAGGATACAGACATGACTGACATGCGAAACACTGTAGAGAAAAGGATGTTTTTTGGAGAAATTGGTAGAATTGCTTTGGGCAAGAAGGGAGTGTTCCTTGTAAATGCAGCACTTCTTACCACACAGTTTGGCTTCTGCATTGGTTATTTCATTTTTTTGGGCAACACCATTACATCAATGTTTCCTCCACCACATAATTCTACCAATGACACAAATGCTACAGCAAAGTCACATGGGAATTACCATCCTCCTAAATTCTATCTGCTCATTCTTGTGCCACTGATCCCATTGATACTGTTTTCATACATAAGAAGTATTCGTAAACTGGGTCCAGTAAGTTTTGCAGCTAATGTGGCTCTCCTGGTGGCTTTTGTTTCAGTAGTGGGATATATGTTAAGTGGTAAGTTTCATGTTATCATGATTTTTAACCCTTTAACTCCCAAGATCAAATTGTTAATTCTCCCCTCAAGCTGCCACATATTTCCTTGTAAGTTAGTAATGAGAATTTGTAGTTAGATCAAGATAACAACTTCTAACTGATAAGTTTGAATATTCTCATCACCTGTTTGCTGGATAATGTAAGGATGTCATAGGGAGAAGTTTTTTGTTGATCACTTGCAGGAGTCAAAGGGTTAACTGGCCAGACAGGATAATTAACAACTATGATTTGCATCAAAGTGGAGATAACTCTTCCAACACTTTCACCAAGACTCAGTTAGATATTAATTCTTTTAGCATATACCACACAAGAACCAAAAATTTCTTCCCTGATGATGTTGAAAAAAATAGTCAGAAATTAAACTCTTAATACACAATTTTGTCTCTTTTGATTGCTCCAAGGTCAGTAATACTTGCTAATCAGCTCTGAGCTAGCCAATCAAGGCTTGCAAAAAGTTATATTGACTTGTGTGGTATAATAACTCTTTGGTCATTCCAAATATGGTTACACTGACATACAAAAGGCAAAAGATGTTATTTTTAATGACCTAAAATTGATTTGTGCCGATTCATTTCTATTTCTATTTTATTAACCCTAACCAGAGCCCTAAAATATTTTTATGTATAGCAGTAACAGATTAATTAGCTCTAGTCAGACAAGTCTTGTTCCAATTTGTTTTGCATGTAGGTTTAAAATTCAAACTAAAGGAAATCGGGCTGTCAAACTGGGCTACATTTCCAGTTTTTTTTGGCCAAGTGACCAGTGCTTATGAAGGAATTGGAACTGTAAGTATTCTGCTGGGCTTTTCACTACTAGTTAAATAATAGACTTGACCTTGTTACATTTAGTAGACAAGGGTTACCGAGAGGGGGAAGGGAAGGGATGTAACCTTTCAAAATCATAAAAGCTTGGTAGAAATAATCAATATGAGAAACACAATTCTGTTTTTTTTTAATGTAGTTGTTTTTTATTTCTGTTAGTTCTGCACTTGATAATTTCCATTTGGTAATGGATCCTCCATTATCCCTCCTCAATTCTTGAAAAATGTGGAGGATTTTCTGTAATGATCCTCTTCCCTTTTACATGCTTCAGTCCTTAACCCTTTAACTCCTGTGAGTAACCAAAATAGAGATTCTTCTCACTATATCTATACAATATCATGCAGACAAGTGATGAGAATAAAAAAAAATGTCAATGATGGTGATTGGTCCGATACCAAAATGATTGGTCCGATACCAAATTCTTCAAACTAACATAATGGGAATCATTTGACAGACAGTAAGCAGAATTACTAATGAGATCTTGAGAGTTAAAGGGTTAAGCCTCACCCAAGTCTTCTGTATACTTCATTAGCAAGTAACTTTCAGTGAGTGATCAATTCAAAAGCTTATCATTGTCCATTAGTCATTCACACTTGGCTTGGTGAGAGAGATCTGGAGCTAACCTCCTGCTTGATTAGCTTTATGCCACCCATTCTGTTGGGTTACCATTAAGACCTGTATTTACAAGGGAGAATAGTCTCCTTATCTGAGTAAAAAATGGTTTAACTCTTGCCATTAAAATTTAGCTAAAGAATTCTGTGTAGTGTGTGGAGAATTTACTCTGATGCTGGGATCTCAAGTACCCTGGACATAATCCCAGTTCATTGTAAGCTTACCTTTTGGTAAAATGGTGCTCTTTTAAAATCATCAGTAGGAAATGTTTCATTTGAATTTTTTATTTTTTCAGTTGATTCCCATTGAAACCAGCATGGCAGAGAACCGACACAGATTCCCCTTGTATTTGCACTTTGCCGTTGGATCCCTTTCAGTAATTCTTGGTTGTTTTGGTATTCTTGGATACACAGTGTATGGGGAAGAAGTAAATCAGATTGTTACAGAAAGCTTTCCTTCAGGAGTATTGATTCAAGTGGTTCGATGTTTGCTGTGCTTTGCTATACTCCTGACGTATCCTCTCCAGGTCTTTCCAGTTATAGAGATCATTGAGGGTTGGCTGTTTAAATCTGACAATAACACTGCAGTGGAGACCAGCACCAGCTCTAACAGTGAATCATCTGATGTATCTGTAGGAGTACAGGCCAGTGAAAGTTCTTGGTTACTTGCACCAGAAATACCAAAACAGAGAAGCTTGGTAAGTAAAAAGGAAAAAATGGCACAGAAAGTGAAGAAGATTATTTTATTTGTTTCATTATTGTGGTTATTTGAACCAGACCTGATACTGTTTTGATATGTACAGTATTTATGACACCCATTAGACAATACTCCACTCTATGTGATAAGCACTCTTCAAAACAATCAAAACTTTTAAAAAATAGGAGAATCTTCTATTACTTTGAAAAGGTCTGGAGTCTGGAGTGTCTTATTAGTTAGACTGTGTGATCTTTGTTAGACATGGCTAAATTCATGAATTTGCTGTCCTGACATTTCAAACCACCCAGCATCCTACAAACAGATTTGTCTGGCATTTTATCCCTCCAAATGGGGATGAGATTATGTTGTGTACTCCCAGCAGCGTGAAATTTAGGGGGAATTTCTCACAAATTGGAGGATACTACATGTCCAACCAAGATCTCAAAGGTTATCCCAACTAGCATTTAGTGTACCATGTGTGCATAGTTTAATCCTTCAATTCCTCTCCTGTTAACAGGCAAGGAAGTGGAAGAAAAATCTGCTGCGAACCTTTATAGTTTTGACAACTGCTGGCATTGCTATAGCACTGAAAGATAATTTTGCATATGTTAGTGCTATTGTTGGTTCCATTGGAAGTGCTACCCTGGGCTTCATTTTACCTTGTGTTTTCCACTTGGTACTTTGTAAAGACTCGAACACAATGCTAATCAAAGTCAAAGATTGTTTATTTATAGCCTTTGGTATCATTGGAGGAGTTGTAGGTGTAACAATAACGATAGGACAGATTGTTCAACAATTTACTAAAAGTAAATAACAATTGTTTACAATTGAGAATGTTTTAACCCTTTAAGTCCTGCTAGTAACCAAGACAGAAATTCTCCTTAGGCTATCAGTTCAATATCAAGCAGACAAGTAATGAGAATAATGAAAAATATCAATTTGGGGATGATTAGTTGATCCAATTCTACATTCTCTGAACTAACATTATAAGAATTGTATGGTTGACAGTATAGAGAATTACAAATTTGATCTGGGAGTTAAAGGGTTAAACTACCTATAAAGAGTAGCTTTATGTTTTTTCATAATTTATTTTATTATTTTAATCTGTAATAGGAAATGATTATAATATATATTAGGCTTCAAATTTTCATAGTTATGCTGCTTTGCAGCTATGTTCAACTATTTCCAGGAGGAATTTTTGTATGGGAAACATTTGTTCCAATTCATTTTATACATACTGAAAGGAAACCCAGTAGGTAAGGAATCGTAAAAAATATTATTGTAGAAATTAATGATTGATTTTTGACATTCACAACCAAGCGTATACAAGTAGAAGATATGCCTGAGTAATGTTTCCTTCTCAATCATCAAGTGTTGACTCTGGCAAAAAACGATTCTTTATAAACTATTTTAAAAATTCCAATGGAGAAAACTGTTGAAACAAAAGTTAGCAAAATAAGTTTAAAAAGTGCAATTTAAAATTATGGAAATTGCCATAAATATTGTTTTGTTTTCATTTGTGCTAACTTTGGGTGGTAGAGAACAAAAATGATGACATGGAGAGTGGAGACAAAAAAGTGAACTTGGATAAGGGCTTGCTTTCACCAAAGGTGTTTGTTTTAAAACTTCCAATGGAGAAAACTGTTTAAAGAAAAATGAGCAAGTTAAGTTTAAAAACGCACATAAAAATAGAAATTGCCATAAATATTGTCTTGTTTTTATTTGTGTTAACTTTGGGTGGTAGAGGGCAGAAATAATGAAGTGGAGACTGAAGAGTGAAATTGGAGAAGTGCTTCACTCACCCAGCTATCTTTCAGCACTAAAGGACAAAAGTTGGCAATCATTGATGTGAGAGACTGGATACTGGAGACAAAGTCTCACCCCAGATTGACTACAGGGCCCAGTTGTTTGAAGGCCGATAAGGGCTAACCTGGGGTTAAGTTTAAATCTGGGTTTCTTTAATCCCTTCTTCAAAGTCTATTCCAGATAATTTCTTAAATTCTTTCAGGCATCAAATTGTAAGCAAAAATAAATAGACTGAATATTCTTTTAAAGCTTTCAGATCTGAGGTCAGATTTCACACTAACACCAGGTTATCTTACCTAACTTTGAACAACTTGGTCAAGAACCTTTGTAAATGAAAACAGTTGATTTTATTCTTTAACATCCTCTCCAGTTACTAAACTTGTTATGTGGCTCTCTACTTTACATGCATGTACCTTTGCCTGTTTGAGTTTCTTCATAACAAAATTTACTTCACTTTGACACAAAAATTTAAGATCAGTCTCAAATATAAAATATTTATTCAATAATGGTGCAATTTCTTTTTATAGAGCCATAAATCGAATCAATCTGCATTGCAGCACAGTATCCTTACCCCACAATCCCTTGAGGGGTAAGGACACCTCAACTCTGAATTCCATAAACTCTTAATAAATTAATTTTTATTGAATAAATGATGCAATGCATATTGGGGTACTTATTGACTAAATTCTGAAGTGTGTCAGAATTTCTTTGTTCCAATCCTTTGAGGGGTGAGGATACTGCTCATATCTCTCTGTCCCAATCCCTTGAGGGGTGAGGATACTGCTGATATCTCTCTGTCCCAATCCCTTGAGGGGCGAGGATACTGCTGATATCTCTTTGCCCCATCCCTTGAGGGGTGAGGATACTGCTGATATCTTTCATAAGTATTAATCTCAATAAATTAATTTCAAAGTAAAACTTACCAGTAACAAGAACTTCATTAACAAAATAATTGAAAGAAATATTCACAAGCATTTACTGCCTTTACTGCAAGAAAGAAGTTTAACTGTCTACTAAGTAACATTTCAATTTATTTTGTAAGCAACAAAAGACCATATACAAGCTAGTATTTTCAGGCCAAATTCAATGAAAAATCTAAGACATTACTTCACATCAGTGGCCAATCATCAAGTTTATCTATCACCAAGAGAAAGAGAAGATAAGAACTGATGAGCTGTACTCTAAATAGAAAGTACTAAATAGAAGCTTTGCCAAGAGTATCTACACGCACAAGCAGAAGCTATAAAATGGAATCAGAAACAAGAATTCATCTGACTTCTCAATAACATCTATCTATGTTACACCAGAATTGATTATTCAGTGCAAATGAGTGATTTTAAAAGCATACCACCACAACTTCACCACAATTTCACCCTTTATACTGAATAATGAATAGTAAAGTTAAGCAAAAAGCATGGTGAAGGTTAGTAGCAAAGTGCTTGATGGTCAATGCCAAATGATCTGTGGTTGCCCAGATCATGTAAAGATTCCCCCCTGGCCCTCAGAGTTAAAACAACTTGGTTACATAACAGGAACAATAGCTACACCAAATCACTGGGACAAAATGGATAAATGGGGCAAGGAACATATGAAGCTAAGCAGTGTATCATATGTAACTTTCATGCCACATTGTATTGTGTGAGACTTGCTTGTCAGCTCACGTTTATAAAGAGTAAAGATTAGGAACTTGAATTACCAGAGGATTCAGAGGAATTCCCATCTTGGGAATTCTGATCCACATACAAAATAGAACTGATACCAGTTTTACCTAACTGAACAACCTTTCCCAGATTTTCAATAGAGCTTGCTAGTTTACAATACACCTCTTTTACTCTTGCCTGAGAAAAGTTACCATTCTCTTCTAATTCTCTGCATAGAGATTTTAAATTTTCCCCTTCTTCTTCCACTTGTTGCCAGTGTTCCCTCATTTGACACACCCTCATGTAAATCTCTTGTCGTTTAGCCTTCTCTTCCACAAGACAACCTTCAACACAAAGACGCAAGTCTTTCTCCTGAGAGAGAAGAGTTTGAAGCTGCTTCACTTCAGAAGTGGCATTAAGAAGCTGTGCTTCTATTTTGTGAGCTTGATGTTGGCATTCCTCCAGAGCTTTTCTGTCATTTTCTGTGTTCAAATAATTATTTTCTTCCTTCCAGTCTGATATTGCTGTAAGAATTTTCCTTCTTGGACCAAACAATGAAATTCCAACTTCTCTTAGATCACTGTCTGTGAGGGTTAGTAGTGTAATAAAATCCACATCTTGATCTTCAAATCTGGAAACATATTTTGTCAAATTCAAATCTTCCAGAAAGTTTGCGATAGTTGGTTTCATAGGTGAAGCTTCACCAACTTGAAGTTGTCTACTGGCATCACTTCCAGTACTGTGCATTTTCTGTAGTTTTTTATGCAAGCTAGCACTTTCAACAGTTCTGCCACAGTTAATGAAAAAGTGCTCAGATTCATAACTACCAACAGGAGTGCCTGGTGTGTTGGCTAAACAGTATGGACTTCCAACAAAATGGCTGGCCCTTTCCTGTTCTCCCATCATACTAGGAATATTCACTGGCTTTCCATCATTCTGATGACTGCTCATCAACTTTTTAAAGGCCTCTGGTCCATCTTGAATCCCAACCTTTGGGATCACATTCTTTCCTTGAAGCGCTGCACAAACCTTATCTTCAACATGGTCACTATCATCAGGTACAAGACCAGGTTCACTCCGCAGCATAATGTTTGGCATATTGAGAAAGGCCTGCTGATTAATTACGTTTACTACAGTCATGTTCCCATTCCGCAGAGCCAAAGATCGTGCATCCTCTCCACGGTTTGTGTGGGCATTCATGTTTGCATTGCATCTAACAAGTTCTTCAAATATGACTTCATGTCCTTCCTTTGCAGCTGCCAGTAACGGAGTCAGGCCAAATCTATATTCCCTACAAAGAGAGAGAAAATCAATAAATCTAATTCAAATATCCTCTGCTCTCTGAAGAAAGAATCTCAACATCATTTCATCTCGGGAGCTGTGCTACATATTATTTAATTGCTTTTTGTTGTGAGGAAAATGTGCTAAAATCAATTGAAAACTAAAACTTTAACTCCTAAAGGCAACTAGCATCTATTATGTGTTATTTATAGGAAATTAATTGTAAAAATTGAGGGCCTTGGCAAGTTTGGTCCATCATTAAATATTTTTTTCCATAATTGTAATTTCTCTTCACAATATCAACCCTGAATCACACAGTTAGGTGACACGAATAAAGGAAAGGATAACCAACAAAATAAGCTTTTGATTTTTGAGCAAATTCCCCTTGTCAGCAAAGAGACGAGTATGGAGAATATGCATTGTGATGTATCAGGGAAATGGGTTATTAAACAAACATCTCCTTTCTTTTTTTCTTATACGCTCTTACTGGCTTAAAAAAAAAAACGAAAATAAAAAAGAATTTCTAGAAAGGTAAAACTCCACTTTGCATACTTGATGCACTCCGCTATTATTGATCGTCACCGTAAAAATTTATATTCATCTGCTACCTGGAAGATTATTCTAAAGTAAATGCCTCACAATCAGCGGGTAAAATGACACCGTGAGAAGTTTAATTTATTAGGGCGGTATCAGTTTTAACTTTTCTTCAATCGTGTGCGCATTTACGCAAAAAAAAAAAAAAGATTATTCAAGAGGTTTAAATAATTTAGAATGAAGGGAATATTGAATACCTTAACTCCATGTCAGCACCGTTCTCCAACAACAACTGTACAACCTTGTGATGTCCTTGGTACGTTGCATAAAACAAACCAGTCCAACCTCTCTTGTCTTGAGCATCGATCTTAGCACCGTTCTGCAGTAGGAAGTAAACAACAGATTCATTTCCACAACTTGCCGCAAGCATAAGCGCGTTAGCCCCATTTTCTGCTGTAGTCGCGTTCACATTAACATGGTAGTCGAGGAGCAGATTAACTATATTGTCATGGCCAACGTAAGCAGCGTACATTAGAGGAGTCCATCCACCACAGTTGGGTTTATCAAGATCGGCTAACTCCACTCCATCTGCTAGATGCTGCTGTACACAGCTGTATTCGCCGATAGCACAAGCAGTGTAAATGTCCATTGCGATGACTTCGTCTTCGTTCCATAGATTACTACAGTCGTTTACATCCGTAAAACTCGCCGAGCGTTCGGCACGGCCATAGAAGTATTCTTTTGGCTCATCCATTTTTACCCATAACTTGAGAGTAACCCTTAAATAATGATTTCAATGACTTTCTTCAGCGTCCGTGCTAGAAAAGTAGAACTGTTTGACAAATCCGTGACATGCGCATGACCTGCACCATCATTTGTTTCACGAACATTCCATCGTTGCGTGACAGCTGCGTTATATTTTACGTACTTCCGTTTCCTTAGAGGTCTGAATACTACAAATATACCCTAATAATAACTATGGTTTCCTATTGAAGCTATTCATTAATATCACAATATACGAGAATAGAGTGACCACTTCTTGGGTTTTTTAAAAATTGTTTGGCCAACAATAAACATTGACAAAATCCTGTGACATAATCGATGTTTGCTACGTACATTTCAGTCCCCCACCTATTGTAACCCCAAGAGATCTATAAATAGGAAAATCGTCATATTCTACTTTTGTATCGTCTACCTACTAGTAATAGTTCTCACTAAAACTACAACGGCCTTGTTTTTTTTTTTCTTAATTTAAGAAATTGACGAACGCATCGTAATATATAAAAACTTTATTTTTTGTGTTTACGATATTTTCTTCGCCTTGTCACACTTCTGCTCTACTCCTATCACGTGGTAACATATCATGTGACATCGACGCCCGTGTCTCCATTCTCTCGCAAATCAGCTGGCGGGATAATAGAGCAGTTTGCAGTATTTGCTGTCGATTGACGAGACCGTGTACCAGCTTCAGTAGTCTGTCTTACGCATACAAAGAACTTGATTACGCTGTTTCATCAAAAACATGACAGGCCATGTGTCTGTTACGTCCAGGACTTCTCAAGCGACCCTTGTAAGGTAAGCCACGATTGCGTTAACCTGTGCAGTTTGGCTGGCCTGAATGCCTGGATGGTTTAAATGGACTGAGCATTCGTTTAAAACATGGATCTTGACTTACTCTGTAAAAATAATTCGCAGATGATCAATATTCCAAAAGTTTTCCTTCTTTTATTCACTTCCGGATCGATGATGTTGATTTTAATCCATTGGAGATTCGATTCGGCTGTTCGATTACATCGATTTATTGACAAACGCTTACACCCGCACGCTCACACCTTGCAAATAGACAGTTGATGTTTCATGAAGGCAGTGAAAATTTAAACATGATCGCTTGAAGTGAAAAGTTCGACTGAAACAGGTTTCAAGGCCTTCCCCATGGAATCAATTATTTCCGGTTTCGCTTTCCTGCTTCCACGCTAACACCCGCACGCTTACATCTTTCACGTGCATCTAGGCAGTCAATGTTTCATGAAGGCAGTAAAAATTTAAACATGATCGCTTGAAACGAAAGGTTCGACTGAAACAGTTTTCGAGGCCTTCCCCATTGAATCAATTATCAATCCGGTTTTGCGTTCCTGATTACACGCTGTAGTGTAAACACTACCGCGTGACAGATTCAATTTTTTAAAAGCTGTATTGGTTCCCGATCCCGTTATTCTTTTTCCCGGGAACAAGGACAAATTTTGAGATCTCATCAGGACTTCAAATTCAATTATAAGCTTCTTCAAAGTTGTCAATATTACCAAAAAGTTCAGTTGCGGTGGAAAAAGTAGGTGCGCTGTGCGCGTTTACTCAGCTGTAGCTATGTAGCTTATAGCAATACAAATGTAATTGTCTTGGAAACAAAAATGTGAAAGTGCAACACGTATTCCAGTAGTAGCCCTTTTCACTTAATCAGTTTACAGGCTATATGAAAATGAACGACAAACCGAAAGAACAAAAATAATTAATGAATACAAAAAAAAAGGATATCAAATCAAAATGAAATATGATTCCCCAGATAACTTTCTCAAGTCATTTCTATATTTAGTACACATCAGGATATGGTCAAACTGTAGTGGTTACCATTAATCTTAAGTGTAAAATACTGTTACTTTCATGAATGAAAAGGAAAAAAGGAAACAAAGTTAAAAAATTCAAGGTTAGGAAAGAAGTGGTGATTAAAAAAAAAAGGAAAAACTTGAAAGGTCCTTACACAGGTAAAGCTGTACTTATGTGATATGTTTACATTTTTCTTTACCATAACCAGACCCTCAGCTTGGCAGCAGTTTACAGATTTTGCAAATGTTCTGAAGGCTTTTATAGGAACAAGCTATTTGGCATTACCATTTGCTTTTTATCAGAGTGGATTAGTGGTGAGTTAATTTAATGTCTTTTAACCTTTTAACTCCCAAGATTTCATTAGTAATTCTCCTTACAGTCTGCCACACAATTTATGTGATGTT